TAGTCCTCTCTTGGTCCTGGTTTACGTTTCAAGTCTAACCACTCCTGTCCCCAGGACCCAGTCAGGGAAGAAGGCTCCCCCCCCCCCCCAGGATATCTGGCCTCTATGGCTTCAGTGGATCATCCTCGTTCGAGTGAGTACGAGTTGTTCTCCTCATTATCCCCCCAGTGTGCCCTGTATAATGTTCCAGTTTAACCCACTCCCCCCCAGCGGTGAGCCCACACTTTCGTTTGGCCCCCTTTTGCAGCCCCTGTGTAATCTCAGAAGATCCCCTAGACACCTTAGAGACACCCCTTTTGCGATATTAGCTTCTTCCCCTATTTCTGACGCGTACTAAAGTCGCCTGGCCTCCCCCAACCCCTAGATCAAAGTCATAGGCCCATCAGTCGTCGGGGACGATTCACTGTAATTTGAGTAGAATATATTATAACTGTTCAAATTTAACCCTCTCTGTTCGTTCTTTTTTCCTGACCACCTTTTTAGTTAATTGGTTAATAAGAAAATCGTCACAAGCAACACAGGAAATCACGTCTGAGCTGGAAATTTGGCACAGAAAAGAAATTCCATTTTCTCCCGACCAGGTTCTTGTCGAAATACCTAAGAAGATAAGAAATGACAAACGAATAATTCGAGTACCGATTGAAAATGAACAGAAAATGAGATGAAATTGCAGGTGAGAAGATTCGGTATCAGATAGGTGATGACTTACACTGTTGTATTTTTTACAAAGCTTTGTATTGTCCCATTTTCACCTCGGCTATGGGATCTTTTTGAAATTGAAAATGCGACTGACATATTGATATATTTTTATTATGTTATAATATGCTATATGTTCTATAGGGTAGAGTGGGGCTGTGCGGCGTCGTTTACTTTCCTGCCAATTTTTTTTTTAGATGGCGTTGATTGTTTGTATTTTTTTGTTTCCTTTTTGGCGCCTTTTTAGTTCCCTTTTCCTTTTGGTTGGACGTCTGTTGGGCTTCCATTTCGACAACGAGTTCCGATGAGAAAAACTGAATGGGCCCGTCCATCATATCGTCTTCATTTCTATTAGTCAATGATTCGACGTTTTGTGTACTTATAAGTCGTTCCACTATCTTGTCCAGGAACTGAAATAAATAACAGTTCACTCTGAGTTGAATTACTTTGCATCGACATTGTTTGTTTGTTTGTTTATTTGTTTGTTAGGTTTAACGTTGCATCGATAGCTAGGTAATGTTGCTAATAAGCAACGGGACTCGATGTTTTTTTTCAAGAATGTAGGCAATTATTGACTCACTTACCGATAATTGCCAGCTTGTCGGCCAACAACTGCCGGTTCTCCACGTTGGAACCTAGTAGGTCAGATGAAGAATAGTATATTGTGTCATTAGCGCCCGAATATCACATACTATTTTTCGTCACTGAGGCCCGAGGCATAACAGTGCAATAAGTAAATAAAAGAGGGCCCCAGGGCGATAAGTAAATGAGTGCGATAATCGCTACTTATCGCTCCAAAAACGGGTCGATAAGTATCATTTCTCGGGCCTCAGTGACGAAATAGTTTTAACGACACTCGGTGTCGTAAAAAGGAAAGAAACGAATATTCTATGCGCAAGTGGTAAAGCACAATGATGTTGAATATCTCTAAACTACAATACTCAGATTAAGAAGTAATGGAATCGAATGAATATTTTTCAACTTCCCTCTTCAGCGCTGGTCAGAGTTTGGGGGGTTGGTTGACAACAAAGAATACGTTTAGGAAATATACCCAGAAACTAGCAGGAAAGGCACAGACGCTGATTAACAAGGCGTGTGGAGAAATGACGAGAGGAAAGTTGAAAAGCCTTAGGAGAAGACTTTACTTGATGGGGACAACAGTGAAAGCAGCGGCGCTATATGGAGTGGAGTTGTGGGGCTGAGAGATTTTGGATTTAGAGGAAATACTCCTGAGCAACACCTATTTCAGTATTTATATGCATGACTTCGATACCCTGTTTTCCTCCATACCAACAACCAATAGCTTGGGTAGAGATCTGCAGCTTCTCGCAAGACCTGGAGAATCCCTTAGACAAGAAATCCTGAAGAACTACGAGAAGCGCGTTGTTATATACACTGACGGTAGTAAGGACCCGAGTGCAGGGTATGTGGGGGCGGCTTGTCATTGTCCTGAACTGGACATTGACATATCTGTCGTCCTAGACACTCACTGTACTGTGTATACCTTGGAGATTCGCGATAAACGCGTAATAAAGAGGTCTGGAAAGGGTTTATTACGATGAGAGGTGACATTAATTTATCTTGAATCATCTGAACATTTGCTGGTGTTGACTATACTGAGTCAGGAAAGGGAACCATACTTTTCTGTTCCATCAATCATAATGACCGATGGTGTGTTCTTTTCCGTTTGAAATTGCGATGACTCAGCAACAAAGACTTCTACAAAGTTTTCATTTCGATCGGAAGTAGGATTTTTTCGGTATAGAACCACTTAAGTACTTGCTGGTACTGACTATACTGAGTGAGGAATTGCGGGGCGTTTCTCTCTCGTTCCGACAATCACTATGAGCAACAATGTGTTCTCTTCCGTTCAGAATCGCGATAAATGCGCAATAAAGAGGTCTGAAAAGGTTTCATTACGATAGGAGGTAGGATTGATTTATCCTGAATCATCTAGTCATTTGCTGGTGTTGACTATACTGGGTCAGGAAAGGCAGAATGATTCTTTTCTGTTCCATCAATCATAATGACCGATGGTGTGTTCTTTCCCGTTTGAAATTGCGATAATTCAGCAATAAAAATTTCTACAAATTTTTCATTTCGATCGGAAGTAGGATTTTTTCGGTATAGAGCCACTCAAGTTCTTGCCGGTACTGACTATACTGAGTGAGGAATTGCGGGGTGTTTCTCTCCCGTTTCGACAATCACCATGAGTAATGATGTGTTCTCTTCCGTTCGGAATCGCGATAAATCCAGAATAAAGAGGTCTGGAAAGATTTCATTACGATGGGAGGTGAGATAGATTTATCTTGAATCATTTGATCATTTGCTGGTGTTGACTATGATGAGTCGGGAGAGGCGGATCGATTCTTTCCCGTTCCTTCAATCACAATGAGCGATGGTGTGTTATCTTCTGTTTGAAATAGAGATACCTCACAAATGAAGAGTTCCAAAAAGTCTTCATTTCAATCGGAAGTAGGATTTTTTTGGTATAGAACGACTTGAGTTCTTGCTGGTACTAACTATACTGAGTGAGGAATTGCGGGGCGTTTCTTTCCCGTTCCGACAATAACCATGAGCAATGATGTGTTCTGTTCCGTTCGAATTGGCCATAAATCCGCGATGAAGAGGTTTGGAAAGGTTTTATTATGATAGGTGGTGAGATTGATTTATCTTGAATCATCTGACGACTTGCTGGTGTTGACTATAATGAGTCAAGAAAGGCGGAATGATTCTTTTCTGTCTCTGTCTCTGTAATCAGAGAAGGAATGGAGATCCCAAATCTTTGTCAAAAAGTAACAGTCAGGTGATCATGGTTGCCAGTGTAGATTATCACCCAGCAATTGTACATCTCTGAAATTGATCATTGCGATAATATATCCCTGAAATTGTCATTATTAATTAGATTTTCTTTCCAATTTTCTGCATCAGAAAATTTGGATGTCGATTTCATGTTGGACTACATAATACAATATGCTGACTCTCATTCTTGACTGCCTTACCCCCTCCATGGGGTTACCAGGACCTTTTAGGACGCTCTTCACGTCCATGGGCTAAACACGGTCATTGAAAAATTTCTGATGAAAGAAAAAAAAAAATATTTTCCAAACTGTTGGTATGGGGTTTTTTATTCGCGTGGCGTTGGCGTCCGAACCGGAGGCGAGGACTGGCCAACCATGCGAGTATCAAAGTCCCATACCAACTGTCTCGGGACATAATTTTTCTGTAGTGATTTAGTTTTTTCCGAGTTCGGGAAGGCCCATTGCCAATTTTCGGCCGAGGAAAAGACTAGCTCAGGCAGGCGATAGTGGTTGAAAATGAAAAACGACCGATGCCAAAAATTCTGAACGAATTCTCATTCCGCTTGTGAACAGAAGTAGAATTTAAGAGAACGAAATTCCGCCCTGGAGAATTCAGAGGAGGTGTTGCTTTGACAACACATACGAAAATGCCCCATGGACGCTGCCATGGAATCAGCCATGGATTTTTCCATGGTCGTGCCCATGAGAAATTGGGACATCTTCCCATGGAACTGCCCATGGAATTTAAAAAAAAAATGTCGTTTTCTACCATCGCCGCTACCCATGGTTCGTCCATGGAGTTTTATAATTCATTTCAGCAAGGTGATTTAAGCACGGTCATCAAAAGATTATTAATGGAAGAAGAAAAAAATGCTTTCCTTTGTGCCGAGGTGTTATCATACACCGGTGTATGATGGCTCTGCTTCGAGAACCCTTTTCATGGTTTCAACGAATTTGTGATTTTTATTAACATCTTTACAATGTAATAGTTAATAAATTTTAATTTATAGACCTTAATGATAGAAATTAAAAATAAAAATATATATTTTCAAATATACATCGAAGAGATAAAATAATTCTTTTTTTTATAATAATTATTCGCATTATCATTATTTAATTTCTGAGAACTGTTCCTCACCTCTGGTCAAATAATGCAATTTGTTATCAGCAAATAGTTTGCAAAGTTGCATTTCCATCCGACGCATCATTTTTTCAATTAGAAAGACCTGGGCTCCTGCTGGTGCTGACCACAGCGAGTGAGGAACTGCCTGGCGTTTCTAAGCCTCTCCAACGATCAGAATGGGATACCGTACGTTTTATACAGTATGAAAGTGTGACTCGTTATCAGCAAGGTCATTTAAACACGGTCATTGAAGAATGATTAGTAATGGCAGAAAAAGAAAGAAAAATGCTCATTGGTGTTAATATACACCGGTGTATTAAGGTTAATAAATTATAATTTATTAAGTATTACATCACACATATGTGCGTAGAGTGGTGGAAACGCTCATTCACCTCAAAGGGTTCATACAGATAAACTATATGAAAAAAAAATGACTCGTTCTTATTTTCCGTGACTTCAGTTGGCATCATCACCTGATTTTGGTCTGCATTCTCTTCTCAGCTGTTCTATCTCATCTCTGGATATTATTTTTCGTGGGCGTGACTTTCCGAAGATTTTTAAATACGATCTTCTTAGCCCGATAGGGACGTTATCAGCGAACTCTCAGGTTGAACCTGTCCACCCTGCCCACGTGACCAGCCATATGATTTTTCCGTCCGAATTCAGGGCGCGGTCCAGCAAATCCTTGACGACAAATTCCTGCGAGTCGTTCAACATTCGTCTCATTGCTTCTGTGCTATTCACCAATGGGTTAGACAGCTGATTGATCTCCAGCCTCCTCTGGCCGTCGGGTGACATTGCAGAACTGTGGTTCCTGTTCAAAGTCACTCTTGATCGCTCCATTCGTTGGAAATGTTCTCCACGTTGACGACGCACTGAGATCTTTGCCGGAGTTGTGCTGTCGCAGGCGAGAGGGTGTCGTTGCACTGAAGATACGCTACGGCCCATGACCACGACCATCAGCTCCCACTCCTTTAATCCTAGAATCGGCTCGGTCGTCGTTGTCGGTAACTGCAAAGTAAAAAGAAAATGATACTCTTACTTTTAATTACTTTTCGTAATTTAGCTGACAATGAAATTCAAAATCAAATTCAATTCACGACGTAAATGAACTGACCGGGACATTCGGCACAGGATCACTCCTGTTGTCCAACGCGAAGCTCGTGCCAGGCGCCTCGTGTTCAGAAATTGGACTAAATGAAGGACTTTCCTCAGAATCCGAGTCGGCGATCTCTTTTGTGTCCTTTGTCTGCGCGACGTCATTTTCTTGCTCGGAGACCTCGTCAAAAAAAAAAAGACATGTGAGAAATTTTTGCGTGATTGTAATAGTAATGTTGATATGCTGGCATCAACTGTGAACCCATATGGAAAATCTATAATGAAATTTAATCACCAGAGCCTAGGTGTCAATATACACTAGTGTGTATATTTTCATTATTATAATCGACTGACTGGTGTCAATGTCAAAAAAAAAACAGAGATTAGATAATTATAAATTTACTCTTCTTTAACTCACTTGTGCTTCCTCAGAATCTTTGCAGTGATTGTCTGAACGCAAAGACGTTGGAACTGAAGCTGACTGATCCAGGTCATCTTCATAGGCGTCTTCGTCTTTCGTCTTCGTCGCGGGCGGAGTCTAAAATTTTTTTTAATTCTTATAAATTTGAAACGGAACAGAAATCAAGAAATGGAAGCTCGACTAGGTGTCAGTATACACCCACATTTGAGAGAAAATAACTACTTTTATAGCATGGAATCTTAACTCATCAGAATGTGATGGTGAGGATTCGGGTGACTCCACCGTTAGTGGATTTACATCAGCGTTTTGTCGACCAGGAGAGAGACCACCAGGAGGAGAGTTCGAGGGACAGATCACAGCAGGAGATTGTGAACGCATCTCGTTGATCGCATCGCTCGCAATGATCTGAAAAGAAGTGCACATGAGAAATTTTTACGCCAGGCATCTAACAATATTTATATTTATTATTATAATGGACAATGGAAAAAATGTTTGTCTTGTACTGAGGTGTTAATATACACCTGTGTATACATTTTTCTCGATATAATCCACTAACTAGTGTCAGTGTGCACCAATGCATAAAAGCAGAGATTAAACAACGAAACTTATTATTCAACGAACTTTATCTTCTGGATCTGTGGACTTGTCTGAAACCGAAGAGTTGTCAACTTGTTCGTTGAAATTCTTAAGGATGACCTTACCAACCCATGTAACCGAACTTAACACCTTTGGACCCTTAGAGTGTCCCCTTCCAACCGGCAACGTTTCAACCTCAGAATCTGTGGAGTTGCTGTCGTCGGGGAGTGCAGGCTTGTCCTTTGAAGGTGAACGGCTCGAGTCACTCCCCGCAACGTTTTCTTTCTGATCCAGAAATATGTCGGTTTCAGGTATCTTTTGTAACTCCACTGGCATGTTTCTTTCATCTTGAAACTGAAAATTGGAAGAAAATATTAATTCCGTAGAATAAAGGTCTTCACATTCAATCAGTGAAATGAAAAAATGAAAAAGTATATGGAATGTGAAAACTGGAGAGAAACCACTTAAATAATATTCTGAATTATCTCGAAAACTAAAGATTCTATGAAAAAATGTAGAATACAAAATTTATAGATGATAAAATTCTCCACGAAAAAGAGCTTATTACATTTTTCTCTAGAATGACTCATTCTCAAGTTAATTGGAAAATTACATAATTTTATTTTGATTTCTTCATTTTCAAGTTGAAGGGCTAAATAAATGATTTTGTAAATATAAATATTTGAAATACAGTTCGTTAATCAATAATTAATTATTGAAAGTTCATCACTTTTTTCATGAACAATTGAAGAAGACCTGAACAATATTTTAGCAATTTCTGAATTCACAGCTTACAAAATTTTTGAATTTCATATCGTAGAATTGCAGAATTTTAGAATTTCAAATTTCAGAATTTGAAAAATTGAGAATTTTCAACTTCAGAATTTAAAATTTTCTGACTTTCAGAATTCAAATTGTATAGGATAAGTGTTCAACTGATTAAACTTAAAAGTGAGGAAATTTGAATTTGGAGAAACTCCTGAAATTGAAATGTGAAATTAATGAAATTTGAAATTTGAATTTGAGAAAATTCTAAATTCAAACGATTTGAAATTGGTAAAATCTTCAACTTGAGAACCCTTGTGCCCCTTGTAAGTGGCCCATTCAGATATTTATTCTTTGATAACGTAAATCACCAGTTAAATAATATTTTTCAAAACGAAAATCCCATTATTGCTTCAATTTTTAACTATCACGACGAAGTTTTATGACAATAGTTTTGTTTTTCTAATCATCAAATAGAGCCAGAACAGTAGATTTTATTCGAATCAGATCATTTTTTGCAAATGGTGTCCACTTTGCCCCACCCTGACCTAAATAAGTAGATAGACTTTTAAAAATTTTGTGAAATTCCCCTAAAAACCCAAGGAACCCCTCTCATATTTAAAAAAAAAAAAAGAATAAGAAAAAAATCACCTGTGTAGCATTCTTAATACACGGATATGGTGTGTTTCTATGATCAGGATTGAATGCAAACATTCTCCCATTGGGATCCTCAATGATAATGCAAACATCCTTCATTTTAAAGCTCCGAGACATTAATAGATATCATAAACTGGCTCTCATACATCTCCCTGAACTTGAAGAGCGGTAATTTTTGCCCAAGGACGTCCCGCAGAAGCATAACCATCTGGAACTTCACAAGCTGAAGGTTGGGCCCCCCAGTGTGTGCAGAAGATGTCAAGATCCTTTCGTATCCAACCTTACGCCTGTGGAGCTGGGGAATAGCGGAATGGGCTTCCTCCTGGAGAGATGGTGCCTTGAGACTAGCTGCGAAGATTCCATCGGACTGAATGAACATAGAAACATGAATGACATGTTTATGTGTTCCTTGGGCTCCATGCTCTGGTCCAAATTGGTAACTTGAAATTCAATGCGAACAAAATGGAATATCTGTGATTTCCAGTGCTCCTCATCCTGAATGCATAATGAAGAGATTGATGAGCTTGTTGATGATATCCATGAGAAAAGTTTACTGTAGGTTCCATTGTTTAAAACCCCGAATGAAATCGGAAAAGAAGTAGATATGATAAATAGCATGATACACGTGGATATAGGGATAGAAGATTGCTCTCCAAAAGCCCATCTCCAAAGGGCAATAACTCACCCTAACTAACCTCACTGCTGCACTACGTTACTGATTAAAACTTCGATTATAATTCCATTTCAACCGCTTTCGCTGATATTTTTCTCTTCAAATCTTGAGTACGAGTGTAGATCAGGCCAGGTAATTCCAGACAAATCGATAAAACACGTTAATCAAGCCGAATTATTCTAAAATGTATATATTGAAGGTTACACTTCATGTACGCAATTTATTAAGAGCACTGTATTAATTGATGCACTTTGAATCACTATAACACTTTGAATCATTGTAAAAAAAATATGACTTTCTTGTATTATTATAATGGTTAATTAATAATTAAATATTGAAAGGTAGGATGTGGATAAACATAGGGGTGCTACCCCCACCATCGCGCCCTACTCCTATGGAGTTAGCCCATTGAGAGAATATTTTAATTTTCATACTCAGCTCGAAAATCATGAAGAACAAACGTTGAAATTGATTAATTAGCAAAGTACAAACGATTACAGATCCACATAACCCAAAAAAAAAGAAAACCTAATTTTTTATATGTGTCGGCCAAATACATGGTCCATTTTTTATTAATTTTTTTATAAATAACTGGGAAGGGAACAAACAATTTTAGGTGCAGAACAATCATCTACAGACGTAGTACAGACGACCTGATTAGTTTTTTTTTCAATAATCAATCACTTGTCGGCTATGTACATCAGTGCCAAAAAATCAAATAATAATAATAATAATGCATTGGATAACAGACATTTTTGTACAGACATTTGCCAATCGTTTGAACAACAAAAAGATGACTTTGGCCATTGTGCTACTTGGGTAACCATTAATGAAGAAATCGTCCGAACTTCGGGAAAAGTCCCAAAAAAAATATTCAGAAGGATAATAAGCACGGAGAAGTTGAGAATCCCAAAGCACCAACTCAGTCCATGGTCCAGTGGAACTTTTTTTAATTATGAACTAACAAGAAGTTGCCAAAAAAACTTGATGAGGAAGAAAAAGTGCTCACTTCTTCTAGGTCCAATATATTTACTTATTATGCATCAATATCTTTAATGTTATTCATGTTTATCGATGTCACGAGATTATTCAAGTAACAATAGTGAATATTAGATTGGAAGTGTAGAAAATCCTGACTATATTCTTGGTTCTCTTCTAATAATCTTTAGTGATGTGGGAATTGTTTATTACGATTATATATTCACCTGATGAAGGTATAAAAGAGACAAATAGAGAGAATTCACCTTAGATCCGTCTGCATGGCCTTTTTTGGGGAGAATTTTGATAATCGCAGATAATTTATCTACATTCTTCTGAGTTTCAGATATCTAAACTTGGAAATAACTACATTAAAAAAAATAAGGAGACAATGAAACAAAAAAAAATAAAATTTCATGACATTTTAGTCACTTTTTCAAGTAAATTCATTTTATTTAGAAATTTTTTAGAAATTTTTTAGGATTTTTTTTTTGAATTTTTATTTCTTTTTATTTTAAATCACTCATGAATTCTCATTATTTAACAAAATGAACAACATGCTATTGAATAACGAAGCAATCTAAAACAAAAAGAAATAAATAATTGTAGATTTACATCTCTCGTACGAATCATGTGGAATTGTTATGTTATCATCTTATCTCCATAAAGGGATAGTAATAAATCACTTGGATTAAATGCATTATGTCGTTATGATCATGCAATTCGAACTTCTACTTGTGGAAGTTGAGCACCCACATTTGGTAGTCGTTTGCTTTTCAATGTGGCGGCTCAGCCTCAATCAGATTCCACTGTTACCGACGGAGCTCGCCATCAGCGCCAACGGCGCAAACAAATACTTATCCCGAAGACGGAATAACGAAACCGACCGGGAAAACCCGATCCGCCATTCATCATTATTATTATTCTCACGATTCCATAAGTTTAACACCACAGCTGTGGCAATCCCTCATTTGTATTCATTTAAATGTTTAATAACTTTTGGCTGAATAAATATAGTTTATTATAGATTACCCAAGAGTCAAACTATTTGTGTGAGTCCTTCAAATCTCCACAATTGGTGACCCCGACGTGATTAAAAACGATTACGATCACGCTTCCATTTAACCTTAAAATATCCACGCGCCATACATAGACGCTTACCCTCAAACATGGTAATTGATCACTCACCAACCCGCCATGACGACGGGGAGCCGACACCAGAACAACTGGCTCAACAACAACAACTGGCTCAACAACAACAAATGGCTCAACAACAACAATGGCTACAACAGATGCAACAAGCTATGCCATTCTACAATCCCATGGCTGGAAATGACGGTCAGGTCATGGCCATTGCACCCCTCAAGCTACCAGAGTTCTGGAAGACCGACCCAGAGTTATGGTTCATACACATCGAGTCACAGTTCAGCAGCAGGAACATGAGAGCTGACAGCGCCAAGTACAACGCAGTAGTTGCAGCCCTGAAACCAGAGTTTCTCAAAGAGGTGTCTGACATCATCAAAGCACCTCCAGAAACAGATAAGTACCTCTTTCTGAAAAACAACCTCATTAAACGCTTCACCGACTCAGTTGATCGTCGCTTGCATAAACTTCTCACAGAACTCGAGCTCGGTGACCAAAAACCCAGTCAATTGTTGAGGAGAATGAGAGATCTGGCTGGTGAGAGAGCTTCAGAAGAGCTTCTCCGTAGCAGGTGGCTAGCTCTGCTGCCTGACATCGTCTGTAAAATCCTCAAGGCCGTTCAGAGCAATAGTACACTCGACCAACTTGCAGAGGCAGCTGACAGTGCCATGGAGAACCATACCGGTGCCCACGTCATGGCAACACACCACCAGTTCCCTGCACCAGTTGTCCAGCCCAGCAATCTCAACACCCAAGTCATGGCAGCTGGGTATTTCAACAACAACCCACCACCATCACCAAGTTCCGTTGAGCAGAGGTTGAGTGCAGTGGAGAAATCCATAGAGACCCTGGCACACAGTCTCCATCAGCTTTCTTCCAAGATGGGCAAGCTCAATGTCAGGTCACGATCTCGCTCATACTCTCGTTCTACCACACCAGTCCCACAGAGTCAGACTGGTCTCTGTTTTTACCATGAGAGATATGGGAACAAGGCACATCGTTGCCAAATCCCCTGCTCGTTCACTCCCTCAACCCAGCAGCAGACGGGAAACTAGAGTCGCTGCCGTCTGTTCAGGCGGCCAGCGGCAGCGCAGATCTCAACAACAATGCCGTCATCAAAGAGTTTCGCCTCTTCATCAACGATAAAAATAAAAATCAGCGATTTCTCATCGACTCAGGATCTGTGATCTCCATCATTCCTCATTCTTGGAAGCCTCACGCAACTCAATCCACAGATCTCAAACTCTTTGCTGCCAACAACACAGTCATTAACACTTTTGGCCAGCAAGTACTTAACCTTCACATTGGACTTCGCCGAGACTTCCAGTGGAGTTTCACAATCGCAAATGTAAAAACACCCATCATTGGTGCAGACCTGCTCACTCATTACGGTTTGCTCATCGATCTTAAAGGCAAACGCCTAATCGACCCATCAACAAACATCTCAACATCTGGAGAGATCCTCGAGACCAGCATCTACAGTGTCTCCACCGTCACCAACGACAGCTCAGCACTCTCTCCAGCCATTCGACAACTCCTCACCAAGTTCGTGGACGTCACGAAGCCTCCAGCAGCCCCACGAACACAATTGGACAGTCCAGTAGCTCATCACATTGTCACTACTGGCCCTCCAGTCACCCAACGACCTCGACGACTTGCTGGTGATAAATTACAAGCAGCTCGTGATGACATGCAGTCCTTACTGCATTTTGGTGTCACCAGACCATCCAGCAGTCAGTGGGCGAGTCCAATACACTTGGTTGAGAAGAAGCAAGGCGGTTGGCGCACAACTGGAGACTATCGTGGTCTTAACAAACAGACAGTGCCTGATCGTTACCCTCTGCCCATCATCGAGGACGTCCTGCAACGCTGCCACGGCCGTAAGGTTTTCACAACCCTTGACCTCGTACGAGCTTACCATCAAATCCCCGTGGCTGAGGACGACATTCCCAAGACGGCTGTTACAACACCCTTTGGCCTCTTTGAGTTCCTTGGCATGCCCCCAGGACTGCGAAATGCCGCACAGACGTTCCAGCGCCACATGGATAACCTCCTCAGAGACGTCGATTTCGCAGCCTGTTACATCGATGACCTCATTGTGTTCTCCAAAACTCCTGAAGAGCACCTGCAGCATCTCGAGATCATCTTCAAAATTCTTCAAGACAATCACCTCAGCATCAACTCCAGCAAGTGCCAATTTGGTAAGGAGGAAGTAATTTATCTGGGTTATAAAATCAATCGATTTGGTTTCTCACCACCTGAGAGCAAAGTTCAAGCCATTGTCGATTTCCCCAAGCCTGCCACCGTCACTGAGCTTCGCAGATTTCTTGGTATGCTCAATTACTATCGTCGCTGCATTCCACACGCAGCTCAGGACCAAGCCATACTCAATGATTTTACCAAAGAGTCCAAGAAGAATGACAAGAGACTAATCCCCTGGACCCCAGAAGCAGAAGCTGCTCTTGTCCAGTGTAAAGAGAAGATAGCCGCTACAGTACGAGTCGGTTTCCTCTCTCCAACAGCACCACTCGCTCTCTCAACTGATGCCTCAGATTCTGCTATTGGAGCAGCTTTGGAACAGTTCGAGGACAACACCTGGAAGCCACTTGGTTTCTTCTCTCGCAAACTCAGCCCAACAGAATCTCGATACAGCACTTACGATCGAGAGCTTCTGGCAATTTTCGCAGCTATCAAATTCTTCAGACACGTTCTTGAAGGTCGTCCCTTTGTCGTGAAGACAGATCATCGCCCTCTGGTCTACGCTTTTTCTCAAAAACCTGAAAAAGCATCTCCAAGGCAGCTAAACCACCTGGACTTCATCTCCCAGTTTACAACAGAGATCGTTCACGTCAAGGGATCGGACAACGTCGTCGCTGATGCACTCTCGCGCATCAACGCCATCAACATGCCCACGGTGTTGAGCTCAGAAGCCATTCAAGTCGCCCAAGAATCCGATGAGGAGCTCCAGACCCTGCTCAACCCCGAGAACTCATCCAGCAAACTTCAACGTTTGGTTGTAGAGGACCACCCAGTTTATTGTGATATTTCCTCAGGGTGGATACGCCCTTACATACCTACCAGCCTTCGGAGACAAGCCTTCGACGTGGTACACTCTTCAGCACACCCCAGCACACGAGTAACAATTCGTCAGTTGAAAGAGAAGTTCTATTGGCCCGGCATCAAGCGTGACGTAGCACATTGGTGCCGAGAGTGTACCCCCTGCCAAAAGTGCAAGATCCAGCGCCATAATCGCATCCAGCCAACA